TGAAAGGAGCAAAATATTTTAATATGTACATTTGTACTGCTCTCTATTGTGTTTAAGGTCCCCTAGATTTTATTATGTACTGACAACATGATAAATGAATGATTATATGGTTAAACATAAATTTGCATGTTACTATTTAAAAAAATGTTACATAAAAATGCTATCTACAGTTTTATTTTTAGAAAAGTATTATAAAGTTTTCCAGTAATGCGAATATGATTTCATAAAATTCCGTTTTACCATTTCAATGAAAGGATTTTATGAAAATTATATCTACTTTACACTGATTATTTAATTTCTCAAAAATATAAAAAATGTTCTCCCGGAAAATACGCCTTTTTGCTATACGTAGCGGTTTCTATACGTTGGATTTCTATAAGGTTTGACGCCATTTTTGGCGATTTTTTTAAGTAAGAAATTATTTATTAATGAAATATAAAAAAACATACAAAATTAAGTGTTTAAGGAGAAAATATTTGAAACCCTACAAAAATAGAGGTTGTGGGAATATTTCCACTCAATTCTAAATAAATATAAAAAACAAATAAAACTATAGAGGACGCGAGGTCGATCTCTAATGAAACGCATAAAGTAACTTCCAGTATATATATTTCTTATAACTTTTACTACTACTAGAGGGTTCAGAATTGTATCAATATCAAGATCACACGAGTTAGACTAAAAAGTATATGCCTCGTAGCCGTTCTATCCAGGGAATAGGAATAAAGGGAAAGGAAATGGCGCTGGTCTGGCATGAGAAAGCCAGTCGCAGTGCTTTGCAGACCAGTACGGTAACCTAACACACACTCTTTTGGTACAGACACACAACATGATTACAGTCAAGGAAATTGCAGAACAATGTTGTCAATTATAATTAAACTTGAATAACGACAATATTTATTGTAAACTTTAATCAAGTTATATTCTTTGCATGAAAATTTGGCTTTATAGTGTTGACTTAATTATTTAATTTACATGCATTTAAAAATAATTTTTAAGTAAAACATTAACAATAAACAAATGTACTCTCCTAGACTGTACAAATACCGAGATTTATATGTCCTGTACACACTACACACCTTTGGTACGGTATCCTTACACACACTCTTTTGGTACAGACACACCCCCATGACGTTTCCGCCCCCTGGTTCTATCTCATTCCCCCCCCCCACCCACCCAACTTCCTCAGAGACTACATCGGGGGGGGGGGTGCATATATCCCCCTGCATCGGTTTTACTTCACATGTAGTTTATATTATACATGCAAAATAGATACATTTGTCTTTAATAACGTAAACTTCACAAATTATATAATCACACATAATTCTTGCTCCTACAGCACAAATTTTAAGATCTGTCCATTAAAATCCAAAATTCGTGGAATTTTAAAAACATTTTTTTATGGAATTTCAAATAAAAAACTTGAATTTTAAAGAAAACATTCCGGATTTTGAAAAAAAAAATCTGAATTAAAAAAATCTAATTTTTATCATTTCGAATACAAATTTACAGTTTTGTGTGCCTTTACCTGGCCAAGGAAGGTTTTTTAGTTTATATTTTCAACACCAGGTTACGTGATGACGTTAGTAAAATTTCAATGTAATGAGTTCAGAAATTTTCTCTTACTTCATTTTTTTTTTAAATCTCAGTCATAGATAAAGATTTTTCATTTTATGCATGAACAACATTTTTTTTAAATAGTTTTGATCAAAAAATCCATTCAAAAGTATAATTACTGATATTAAGTTTTACATCCAGATAATCGCAATTGTCTGAAACTTTCCATGGCTTACCTACATATCATGTCCTTATTTGTAAATCTTTTGTAGAGATTTGTGAGACGAAAGTCATGAAGCAAAATCGTTCAGAACAATTTAAAAAAAAACATAAAGCCATGAGTTTGTTAAACGAAAATTCGAGAAGCGATAAAATGATAATTAAGAACAACATTTAAAAAAACTGAGGGATGTGTGTGAATAAGAAACCTTGCAGTTGAGAGTAATGGAGGGGGTTGTAAATCCCCCCCTCCCCTCTCCCCCAACTCCTGTGCATAAGTTACAGACTATGGGGGATATATACCCCCTGCATCGTTTTTACTTGACATGGGTACACATGTGTCCGTTATTATGTAAACTTCGCTAACTAGGTAATCAAAAGTTGTATCCACTTAGTTTTGGTATATCTGCATATCAAAAACCAGTTTCTATATTGTTATCATAAATTTTCAAATAATTTTCAAAACGTGTAATTTTACAAAGATTGAAATTTACAAGTATGTAAAGTATGTATATTTCTGTTTGGACATGATAGATCGGGGAGGTTTAGTTTCTATTTTCAACACCAGGTTGTGCCATAGTATTAATAGAATTTTGTTTTAAAACTCTTCAAAAATTTGTTTTCTATGACCTCTTCAATGCTTTAGCTTTAACTTTAACATTCTTATCTTTTTTATAGTTTAAACAGTACCATATTTAGATACTTTTAATCATGCGAGGCACTGTCTTCAACAAATTAATTAAATGCTAATATTTCTTGGCCATAATCTTATCCATAAGTTCATAACCCTTCCTCCCATGAAAACCACCTTTACCCTATTTGTTAAATCTTATATAGTGGTTCACTAATAGATTATCATTACAATGGCATGTTTCTACACTTCAAGAGGGACATGTTCAATTCACAACGATAGCACTCTTGAGCAATCTTAGTCTGAATAATGTAGATAGGGTTTAATTCTTTAGATTTTTCATTGTTTCAGCCGCATAAAAATCCGTAGTCACTTTAATTAAGAAATCACAATTTATGAATTATAAATACTAGTTGAAGAGCCGGCGTTGCCCGTGGAATTTTTACAAATCTACGGGTTCCCTAAAAAAAATAAGTCCGTTTGATCCAGCCGTTTGGCCGGCCAGCTATAGCTAACAAATAGATATGAGCGTAGAGCTTTAGATGGATAAATGGAGTTCCGCTTGAAAATATGTTTATGCAATGCCTTTAAAATAAGCGTATCTAATTCATAATGTAAAGTTTGAGTAAATTATTTTGTTTATAATTATTTTTGATGGAGTACTATCCTCCAGGTTTTTCTAACTCCCTATTTCTTCAGAGACATTATGGATTTTCATCGGAGGCCCATTCATTCTCATTAAAGACCCCTCGGGCCTCGCCCCCCGCACCCTACACCTGATTTTTTCTGAGTACCACGCGTTTATTTATAATCAGATTTCCTTTGTATTCTTTCACTTCCTGTTGGAATAAACTTGACCCAGCATTGTCTTGTATTGAATTTAAATTTAAACTTAACTACACTTTCTGGATAGATTATCGAACTTTGAATGCAACTGGCTATTTTGCTATACTTGTTCAACTCTAGTTTCATAGATTAGGTTGGGGTTTTCAAGGTCTTGAATATGATCTGTTCAAATATTTTAATACTTTTTTGATGCAGTGATAACAGAAAACTCAGGGAAGTATTACGAACTTTAGAATCAAGTAATATTTTTAAAAAATCCAATGAGCATAAGACACAGCAATTGTGTAGTGTAAACAGAATTATTTCACTAAATTAGGTAATTTTTTAGTATCTAGTAAAAATCTTTGCTTTGTAACAATAACAAATACAGTTAAGTACACCAAATGTCGTCTTCCCCTTCCTATGTTTTCTGGTTATAACTGTACATATATTGAGCATCATATATATTATATATGTATCCTTGTCTGAAGAAATATATAGCTTATTTTTGATCTTTTATCCAGATCAGAATAACATGTATTTATAATATTTCTTGATCATGAACAATCGTATGCATTATTGAGTCTAAAACTTTCTGTATTTCTGACTGCATAGATTGACGATATTGTCTCCGCCTTCTGTTCTCCAACCGCCACCGCCGCTTCACGCCGCCGTCGTTTGAATCTAATCATAAACTGTACCCAGGGAGCTATTATCTTGTAGCTCCCCGGCCACAATATATTCATAATTGTTAATTACTTAAATAATATATGTATGTTAACTTGTGGCCAAATAAATGACGTGATTTGATTTATACCACGAACTTATACATCTTAAAGTTACGTGTACGCAGTCCTACAAAATATTAAATAACTTTATAAATCCTATTTTTCCTCAACTCTACCAGATCAAACAAAGACCAAGGAAATGACCGGAAATTAACAAGTGTTGGTCGGAAGGGGGGGTGAGTGTAGGGNATAGGCACATTTAGCTATATGGACAATGTACCCCCCCAGCGGGAATAGGGTTAATTTCTGACTGAACCTTCTGAAATTGAATTTGCACTTCCATACATAAAACAAAAATATCGAGGTTTGGACAATTTAAAATGATTTGATTTTAAATAACATATCTCTGAAATAAATCAGGATGCAATTTTCAAAATAACAAGATTTGATGTGCTAACTTATTAATGGTATGATTCTAAAATGGTGTTTTTGACGAAATGACATCTTAGGATGAAAGACAATTTAAAGGTGAAACGTAAATACCGATGTTTATTGGGACGCCATCAACTTATCTATCTATCTATCTATCTATCTATCTATCTATCTATCTATCTATCTATCTATCTATCTATCTATCTATCTATCTATCTATTTATCTATCTAACGAAAGTAAACAAACATGTTTTCACATATTTAGCATCAAGCTGCAAAATTGAAGAGGAACTGATTACTTGTCGCAAACTTTACTTTTCTAAACCCAATATCTTTGCAACAGCTAATGACGTAAATCGTTGATTTTATCTTGCGGAATTTGAAGTTTGAAAGGTGTACGACATCAGGTTGCAAAAATGTGGAGACTAGAATATTGAAATTTGAGGCAAATAATGTGTTTCTACATTGTTTTCTCTTCAAGATACGTAGAGAATAAAAACAACAATGTTTTTTTACAACTGATACTTTTTTACATAATTTGTTTCTTGCAGTTTCAAAGTTTTTTTTGGAGGGGGCATATAAACATATAAACAAAGAATATTTGTTTACATAATTTGTTGGTAGCGATTAAATACAAATGATATTTTTTATAACATAAATTATTATTTTGGTTTCATTTTTTGTCCTCTAGGTGTGAAACTATTGCGTCAGTATGGGACATAGATAAAGATTGGCTGAGAGACAAGGGTAGGGAGGAGGGGGGGAAATGTGAAGAATGGAGAAGGGGACCCGACAACCTGGGGAAAAGTGAGGAAGGTAGGCGGGTGGATTCCCCCGGTATTTGAAGGGGAAAGGGGGGAGGGGGAATCCCCAGGGAGGGGGTGGGAAGGCAGGGTACAGGTATACCAGCAGAGTGGGACAAGTAGTTGACCAGCTTACGCATTTCTTCCAGCGCGCTGGTCTGCATCAGGATATAGTTCTTAGCTAACAGAAGGGTAGCAATCTTACTCAGTTTACGCACTGACGGAGAGTGTGCGTACGGTATCACATTCCTGGCCATCAGACACATTTTTCATACCAAATATAATATAAAAAATGAAATAAAGGATTTCATGAGTTAATTAATTGTTTTAATTTGAAAAGGAATGTAAGCGTAATTTCAAGTGACCCTCTACGTGTCTGATTTACAAGCTTTGTTTGATTAAATCTGAATTGGATATCTTTATTTTACTTTGTAAAAACTATTTATTTGTGGATTTTCTGCAAACGTGACACTTTTCAAAAACTATCTACAACTGTGAATCAGATTTAGGTTTCAAGGTTCTGTTGTGAATCGGGTATCTCTCTCTGTAAATAGAGATAGGGTCACATTAAAATACGACCACAGATCTTTTAGTAAATTGAAAAATGAAAATCATAAAATAACTACTTAAGGGGACTGTAAAGGAAAAGTGAAAGGGGGTATAGTATGAAACCTGAGAATCTAAGGAGTTAAACGATGTTCCGGTCTCGTAAAATTAATATAAAATTTTACGAAATTATACGAAAATGCATATATATATATATGCAATTTTGTATAAAAGTTGTAGTATTAAATTCAGATTATGTTCAACAACTATGCAACCAATCTGAAAACAACGATATCCCACAGGAGCCTGAGAATCTCAGGTTTGCTCCTATTATATTTTTTTTTTTTTTGAATTTGCATTTTTAATCATTTATTTTTTAATTGATAATATTATTGCATATAGTCCATATTACGTCACCAGAACTCCAGCCAATTTTTCCTTTACAGTAGTACCTTTAATAATCAATCAAATTTGAAAAGAATGAACGCAATTAAGTGATTCAACAAATTAAAGGACAAAATGAGTAAATTTTTGGATGAATGGAACATGGTGTAGCGAGGCAAAATGACGAGGGTAATAAGCGTACTAAAGATATTTTGAATCTAAAATACACATGGTAATATAAATATTTGGTTTGGTTTCAAGCTCCGGAAATGGAAGATGATATTCTAGCTCCTCCACAATAGATTAATTGATTATTAAATTTATATCAATATGAAACAAATAAATCAAAAAAATATCAAAAATAAATTAATGAATTAATGAATTAATAAATTAAAGAATTAATGAATTAATGAATTAATGAACTAACGAATTAATGAATCAATGAATCTATAAATTATTAAGATATTTAATTTATTTAAATTTAAATGTGTGTTGCCTAAGATCATCTAATGCATCATTCAGATCGTGCATTCTCCGACGCTCACGCGCATTAATGCTCAACCGTTGAATCTAAACGATAATTTGTAAAAAACGCGCGTTGTAAAAAACTTCAAGATTACTGTAAAAAAACATGGCATAAATTTATTGCTTGAAATGAAAAATATCTTATTTATCTTAATTTTAAAAAAAAGATAAAAAGATAAAATTTATTTATGCGATACTTTTTTCAGATACCTTCTTGGACTCCAAATCATTCACCTTTCCCCCGCCGCCCTTCTCTCTCTTTCCTCGACCCTTCCCGGAGCCAGGGCTGCTGGAATCGAAATCTCCGACAAGGTCTAGCTCCGACCCGTCCTCGTCCTCGTAGTCGTCCTCGTCCTTAGTTGAGGTCGGGGAGACGATATCCTCAGACTGATAAATCATATTTTAGCAAACTTTTATTTTTCATTTGATTTTGGAACGAATTGGGTCTTTGATTTTATCTTAGCAACCCAATATTGTAGACCTTCGGACATTTCAAATTGTGAATTCTGTTATAGATCAAATAGTCCAAGTTTAAAATATTAAAGATTTACAACATCAGGTTGCAAAGATATAGGGATTAGAAAAGTTGAGTTTGTGGAAAGGACTTAATTCCTTTGGTGTAAGGAGAGGGAAAATGTTAAGTAACCCTAGCACAATTCACAATGGTACCTTTAAAACTTAAAAGCTTAGTCTGATCAAAAATGAACGGGATAGAGAATTTCTTTGAAAAATTGTTTATTTCAACTGGGGTTTCTTTACAAAAGTGACTTTCGGAGTTCTTGCTTCAGAAACAATGAAGGAAATTTTGAGATTTTTTTCAAGCCAAAAAACGATTTCTTCCGCGTGTTTTTTATCAAAAGGTTTTAAATCAGACACGGCCCCAAGGTTATAATGCAAGGAAAGTCATTTCAGAGCTGTACGCATCTTTTGTACTGCAGTGTACTGTGACTGGGCGGTAATGTAAACACAAGACGGATGTCGATGCCTAACGTGGGATCCATCTTTCACGTAAAAAATACAGCTTTAATCAAATTTTAATCTATCGGACTTTTTTCAATTCCATCTGTCAATTCACAACTGTTTTATCACAACTGTCGACCATGTTTTATCAGAAAGCAATGGTGGATTTCTACAGAAAAACATGAACAAAACAAATGGCCGAAAGTATAGTCTGCTCCAAATTGATTTACAATCTATTTGGTCTACAACTCTGAAGGAAAGAGAAAACAATGAACTTTCAATTTGTTTCTTATGTATCATTAAACATTAAACTTTAAGTTTGAAAAAAAAACTTCCTTTAAACTAAAAAGAGTTAATACTTTCATGTTTCCCTAAATTTGAAAACAAGATTCTTTATTTACTATTTAGTAAACCATTTAAAGACTAAACTGAAGACAGGAAATCAAATCTAACAAATAGATCGTCCTACGTCCTATACGTATGTTGAAGTTTCAAAATTAGAGTTTGGAGAAAGTGTTCATTTCTTTTAAAAAAAAAAACAAAAAAAACTCACAGTGTTAACCAGAAACTGTAGAATAGGAAGACGACATTTAAGCAATACTGAAGTGCATTTAGTGTTGTTACAAAGCCAAATAGCTTAACTAGTTATTTATAAATCACTTATTAAGTGAAACGGATCTGTTTACACTGCACATTTGTTCAATTGTACAAGTGTTGTAACTTGAGTCTAAAAGTCCTATTCCAAAGATCACTGTATGTAAACAATCTATGTAAACAATCTATGTAAACAATCTATGTAAACAATCTATGTAAACAATCTATGTAAACAATCTATGTAAACAATCTATGTAAAAAAGGACCATTTGAAATCTGCAAGATTTTAACTTTTTTAAAGAAAGTGTTGAAAATGTATTTGCTAATATATTGCCTGAAGGCCAGCAAGGCGGGCTATTGAGTAGGCGGAGCAGGGGAACCTGGTAGAGTCAGGGGAGGAGGGCGTGGTCCTAAACAAGGAGGTGGGCGGGACAGTTAGTCTTGAGGAGGGGAGGAGGAACTGAGGTGGGAGAAGGGGGCGGGGAGAGGATAGAAACATTCCAGAGTTTTCCATATCAGTCTAAAATTTGAAACAATATATATTTTTTTATTTTATTAAAACTTCTAGAAAAAAAGAAATTATTCATGATTTTTGAATGTTTTTGGTTATTACAAAAAAAAATTAAATTAAAATCAAAAGTTTATTTTTATATCCAGTTAATATAGGCAAAAATAAGTAGCGCATTTCTTGCTTACATCATATGTGAAAAATGTAGAAATTATCAGAATTAAACATATTTCGAGTCAGGGAAACGACAGGATCTTTCAGAGTTTATGGTTTCAAGGGTAATATTGTAAATCGGACATTGCTATATCTTTGCATGGAGGGTCACTTAAAATTACGCTTACAGTCCCTTTTACAAGTAAAGTGGAGACAAAAAGCATCAAATTTTTAACTAAACTCAATCGAAAATTATCCAAAGATTGTTTTTAAATGAGGGGGGTGGGGTTCAATCTTTTTTTGAGTTCGACCCCCCCCCCCATCGCTTGAGCTAGCTTATATATTCAAAGATCAATGTGGTCGGGATCCTAAAATTGACCGCCGAGAAAATTTGTCAAATTTAATTTAAATTCCTTTGTTTCAAAATTCATTTAAGTATTCTTTTATCTTTTTGTTAAAAAATTTCTTGCTTTAAATTCTTCTGTATAAAAATTTGAAATTATAAAGAGTCCGTGGTATGTATTTTTTTATGTAAAGGAATTAAGTTTTTCCCACAAACTCAAATTTTCTAATATCTTTGCCACCTGATGGTGTAAAATTTGATATTTCAAACTTAGATTATTTGATCTAACAGAATTCATAGTTTAAAATATCTAAGGTCTACAAGATAGGATAGCTATGATATTAGAAAATCTGAGTTTGGGGCAATGTTTTTTTTTGTGGTGTGAAACATTTTTTGCTGACCATGATGTTGAAACAAAAAAAAATAACAATCGAAAAATTATAATTCTTGTAAAATCAAGTTTTAAATTAAACAATCATATATATATAAATGAAAATATGAAAATTGCACAAAAATATGAAAATTGCACGAAGATATAATAATTGCATGAAAATATAAAAATTGCACAAAAATATGAAAATTGCAGGAAAATAGAAAAATTGCAGGAAAATATAAAAATTGCAGGGAAATAAAGAAATTGCACAAATATATGAAAATTGCTCGAAAATATAAAGATTGCACGAAGATATAGTAATTGCTCGAAAATATAAAAATTGCAGGAAAAAAATAAAAATTAAACCAACAATTTTGACACACAGAATTAATCATTCTGCAATTTGCAATTTGCAATTTATTCAGCAGTAAGCTGGATAGGCATTGTTTAAATTGGGATTAGAATTTTCATACAGGTGCAATTTGTACTTTACTAAAGTTTTTTAATGAGTTAAAAAGTTTCCACAAACAGTTTTTAAATCATATTTTCAATTATAAATGATGGATAATATTTATTTCAAATTCTCAACTAAATAATCCCTTACCTGAAAAGGCTTGCCTAAGATAAGATTTTTTTTGTTTAAACGGCGATGGTTTCATCAGTAACCGCCATTTTTTAAAATCTTCACAGTTTCACAAACACGTCAATGGGCTTCCTTTCACCCAAACAGTTATCTTTTTCATATACGTTTGTTGAGGAAGATTTTTGAGGTGAAAGGCGGTTGTTTGGGTTGAACGGCGGGTGTGTTTGGGTAAACGGCGGGTGGTCTGGGTAATCGGCGTTTATATCCGTGACTGAGGAATACTTGAAACCCTGTGTTGAACTGGTGGTATAGTTAGCTACCCCAAACCATCCTCCGACCATACACTGGGCAAGAAGTAAACCATCCGCTCACAGCAGGCGAACCAGCTACATCAAGCCAATCACAGACCGTCCGCTGAATTCGGACTAATCAAAGACAGGGAAGCAGACACTGGCGCTGAGCCTCGACCAATGGGAGGAGGGGAAACAGACAAGGGAGGTTCTAGGGCAGATGTGGCCTTTATTCAACCAGACCGCAACCATTTGGAATATATATACTTCAGGGGGGGGGCACGCAAAACCAACTAAAATAATTAATTGTGATGTGCGCACGCGCCCGGAACAGAAATTATAATGTAATTTAAAGTTGAAAAAGCTAAATTTTTTACACACCAAGATACAAGTCCAAATTAAAAGCTTTGAACTTAGATATAGGAAAAACCTGTAACTGGTTCACAATTAAAGGCTTACTGAAAATAACTATTCTTTTTTATTATTTATTCTTCATACGTACTTACTCCATTCGTTCTTTGTTGCTCACTTCTTCCTGCAGCTCCATCTTTAAAAACTTATTTACTGCTCCGTTCTTATTGCTTCTTTTCTCGTTTGTACGTGTGTGTAATAAATGTAATCCATAATGATTTAACCTGTGCTGTATACAGCACAGGTATGCCGAGTACAGCACCGGTATGCCGAGTACAGCACAGGTATGCCGAGTCCATTAGTACCTGATCCAATTAGGGTCCTGTCATGTGTTTGTTGTCTATTCTGAACCAATAGAAATGTTATGGCGGTAACATCTATCTATTATCTATTATCTAGTTCATTTAGGAAATGTTCTGCAAAGTGATAATTCAATGACCATAGATTGCAATAAAAAACGAGCTATTTTCATTTCAAAAATTCATTCCCTTAACCAAGAATTTTATGTTAACAGTCCAGATGTTATTTTGAAACTGTATAATATTTACTGTTGTAGTTTTTATGGATCTAGTATTTGGGACTTGAGTTCCCAAAATTGTATACAGCATGGAATACTGCTATTAGAATCCTTTTTAATGTACCTAGAGATACGCATAGGTACTTGATTGAAAGTATTTCATAATGTTTACATGTAAAAACTATGTTACCTAGCAGATGTGTGTCTTTCTATGAGACTATTGAAGCAAGTTCTAAGCTTTGCATTAGATTTCTTTCTAATTTATGTAAAAATGGCCTCAACACAGTTCTTCTTGGCAGAAATTTATTTTCTATTGCAAATGATTGTTCTGTAAATCCTTCGGATCTTAGAAGAATGTTAGTTAAGAAACAAATGAAATATTTTGATGTCCCATTGGAACATTAAAGGAAAGCTCCGGTTTTACAAGAACTTTTAAATACAAGAATGAATAATTTATATGTTGAAGGATTCGATGATTACGTAATAACTGAAATGATAAATATGTTTTGTAGTGAGTAAAAATCAATTTTTTCTATTTGTGCATAGTTTTGCAAATTTTCTCTCTTTTCTTTTGAAAACCTGTATTTTCAAAATAAAATTATTTAAACAAATTTAAACTACACCATTTATATATGTATTTATATCTTTGTGTGTGAATAAATCTTTATAATAATAATTATCCAATTAGAGTTATGAATTACTCAATCGGTGCTATCAGTAAATGGAAATATTTACTTCTACTGAAACTATAGTACTGTGTACCAAAATCATAAATTACAGAATTAAAAAATCACCCTGTATATAAATTCAATTTATGCATTTAATTTAATTTAGATTAGATTTTCAAAATCAGAATAATAGCTTCAGTAGAAGTAAATATTTCCATTTAGTGTATAGCGCCGATATAAGGATTCATAACTCTGATTGGATAATGAGATAGATAGAAAGATAAATGTTACCGCCATGCAATTTCTATTGGTTCAGAATAGACAACAAATACATGAATGAACCGTGATTTGGATCAGACGCAAATAGACCCGGCATACAAGAAGAAGGACCTTGACTGATAATAACTTGAGATTTTTAAGTCCACTTCCTCACAAATCCTTTGATATTCCCTCCCCCCCCCCTTAAGTGAGTGTGAGTGGAGAGGGTAGGAGGGGGGAGGCTGAGGAAGGAGGTTTTGGGAGGGGGTGAATAAATCTATTTTGTCCAGTTTCTGATTTACTTTTAGACACAATTTGTCCCTCCTCACCCTACAGGGGATTCATCTTAATACACACAAACACACACACCCTCCCCCACTCACACAAACACACAAACTTAAAGGGACTGTAAGCGCTATTTCAAGTGACCCTCCATGCAAAGATGGCAATAATACCCAATTGAAACCTTAACCTGATCAAAAATGAGTAAGTACAATCATTTTTCTGACGCGAAAAAGCGAGTTTCTCCATTCCTGTCTGTATAGACGAAATGTGCAAGTCACTTTTTCTCAGTTTCAATCAGACAAAGCTTTCAAGGATACCGTTGTAAATTGGGCATTGCCATCTTTGCACGAAGGGTCACTTGAAATTACGCTTACAGTCCCTTTATGCACATAACTGCAAAGTTTATACAGTCTTCTTTCTTTTTAGTTCTTATGAAATATTGTTATGAATTTTGTTATTTGTAACGAGATTGTTTTTTTAAATGACCTTTATCAGATAGTATATACTAGCTGAAGAGCCCGGCGTTGCCCGTGGGGAAAAAATAAGAAAAATAGGCTATGTCACCCTCAGGCTACCCATGAGTGTCCACAAAAAAATCCATCCCATTTGGACCAGCCGTTTGGCTTGCTATTGGGAACATATATACGAATGTCTTGTTAATTTTATTATATATATAGATAATGTATTATTATATATTCAAATTTCAAATGCTGGCATGAAAATCAAGTTCCTCTATTTGATGTTAGTTGGACTTTTCAAAATCATACGGTGGTAGGCGATTATACCAATGTAATGAAGACGACTTTTTTATTTAATTTTTTATTGTTAACAAGCTTTCTTCGAATTACAAGTTTATAAGATAATAAAAAAGAAGCTTTTATAATTTACAGCTTCTCTTTGTTTCAATTTTTTGTGAATCTATGTTGTTAAAAGCTTACAATAAATCAAAATTTAAATTGAACGTCTGGTTCAAATTATGTTGATATAATCGCCTGCCACTGTACCTAGTATATAATAGTCGCCTTTCTATTCTGTACTTAGACTTTCCAGCAAATAATAAAGGTTTACAGGGTGGTTAAGTGGGCATGCAATTTTTATAATTGAAAGACAGTTTACGTTTAAATTTTCCCGAAATTCTTTATGGGTCTTCCTGTAACTGGCAAAATGTCAGTTAAAGTTAGAGTTTCCAGCGAAAGAGACCTTTTGCGAAAAAATGCGAAATTTTCGAAAAATTTGTTCGCAAAATGAATTTTTCAAAAAGAAGCGAAAACTGTGCAGTATTTTGTAAGAAAATAATATGCCACAATTTTCGCAATTTTTCGCGAAATTATCGCAGGAAACCCTAGTTGTAGTTGAGTGTAGATGATGAATGAAGATGTAGGAGCTGAAATGGGTGAAATGAGTTCTTCTTGAAGAAGAACTTACAAGGATAAATTAAAATATATCAAGGGGAGGAGTAAGAGGAAAAGTCCAAGCATGGACAATAACGAAGCAATCATGTAAGTATTAGTATATCTACATTCCCTGTTAAAAATAAAAACGTATATAAAAAATGTATATCCTTTTCACCCTTAAACATTTCATAAATATTACTTTTTTGATGTTGAAACAAAGAATAATGTTTTAAAAATCTGAAATGTGAACCTATCTGTTTCAGTTTGAAGAATATTTTACTAAATGAAAACGTTCTAAATTAAATTATCTCTTCCCAGATACTTTTAATATTTGTCATCCTTTCTTTATCTTTTAATATTTTTATTGTTTTCTTTTTTCTTTTTCTGCTACTTCTCCTTATTTTACTCCTTCATCTTATTCCAATCCTAAATAACTCCTGAATATCTTCTGAATATCTCCTAAATATCTCCTGAACATGTCCTGAATATCTCATAAATATCTCCTGAATATCTCCTAAACATCTCCTAAAAATCTCCTGAATATCGCCTGAATATCTCCTGAATATCTCCTAAATATCTCCTGAATATATTCTAAATATCTCATAAATATCTCCTGAATATCTCCTGAATATCTCCTGAATATCTCCTAAATATCTCCTAAATTTCCCCTGAATATCTCCTAAATATCTCCTGATTATCTCCAAAATATCATATAAATATCTCGTGGATAACTCTTGAATATCTCCTGAATATCTCCTGAATATATCCTGAATATCTCCTGAATATATCCTGAATATATCCTGAATATATCCTGAATATCTTCTGAATATCTTCTGAATATCCCCTGAATATCTCCTGAATATATTCTAAATGTCACCAAAATATCTCCTAAATATCTCCAAATATCTCCTGAACATCTTCCATACATCTACTGAATATCTCCTGAATATCTTCTGAATACCTTCTGAATATCTCCTGAATATTTCCTGATTATCTTCTAAATATCTCCTAAATATCACCTAAATATCTCCTGAATATCTTCCAAACATCTACTGAATATCTCCTGAATATCTTCTGAATACCTTCTGATATCTTCTGAATATCTCCTGAATATCTTCTGAATATCGCCTAAATATCTCCTGAATATATCTTGAATATCTCCTAAATATCTCCTGAATATTACCTGAATATCTTCTAAATATCTCCTAAATATCTCCTAAATATCTCCTGAATTGGAGTTAAATATTGGCAATATCTCCTGAATATCGCCTGAATATCTTCTAAATATCTCTTGAATATCTCCTACGTATCTCCTAAATATCTTCTGAATATCTCCTAAATATCTCCTGAATTGGAGTTGAATATTGGCAATATCTCCTGAATATCGCCTGAATATCTTCTAAATATCTCTTGAATATCTCCTAAATATCTACAAAATATCTCCTGAATATCTCCTGAACATCTCCTAAATATCTCTTGAATATCTCCTGAATATCTCCTAAACATCTCCTGAATATCTCCTAAATATCTCCTGAATTGAAGTTGAATATTGGCAATATCTCCAATCAGACGAAATCCTTTTCTCGTTCTTTGAAGCCAAGTTATTCCTCGTCTTTCATCTTCAACT